GACTTCCACTGGCGTCCACTGCCGTCTTACTGAGCAGACGTCCAAGTTGGCGTCTAACTTGGCGTCTAACTGTTGGACGGAGACTCCCAAGCTGGACGCGTCTAAAGTTAGCTGTCGCCAGATAGACGCAGCCGCCGTCCAGCTAGACGCGTCTAGCTGGACGCGAAATGGAAGTCTCCACCCAATATCTGCATGACCCGATATCGGTTTGACTTGCTAGTTCCTTGTTTGTCGTAAGCTGTCTTGTTCGGTGTGTTGCAATTTGAAAGATTTTAGAGCGGCTGAACTTGATCAATGTGCGTATTCTGTCAGTTTCTTCATCACTTACCTATTTTCTCCGTGTGTTTATGTTTTATTTGTGTATGATGTATATGTTATTATTTTTTATATTATGTTTTTTTAGCCATTCAACTTTTTTGTTGCTGCCTCAATTTATAAAGATGTTGGTTTCTCGCTGTGTTTCATAGTTCATACTCATCAATATTCATGCTCCATCGCGCAAAATAGTCATGTTTCATAGCGTAGTGTCTGATCAGCGGGCGCGTTTTTCAGGCTGCTGAGGGCCCGTCAGCTGCCGGACCGTCCAGTGTCGAGCCGCCCAGCCTGCCACGGCGCCAGGGACCGGCGGCCCGTGGCTACCGTCCTCTCGACGACCAGGACTCAGGTGGGCCAGGCGGGAGGCGTGGATAGGCCCCGGGATGGGGGGGGGGTGGCGTAACGTAGAGTATAATGGAAACTGACCTTTGGCTGATAGTCTTACCATGATTGTATGTTGCGTTATGTATTACTCTTTTCCTGACTCTATGACCTTTCACGTTATGCAGATTCTTCGCTTTTAGACGTTGTGTAGCAATTGTGCACTTAAAATCCGGTCAAAACTAAAAAAGTGAATATTAAAAAATTACCTATGCATCAATTAAGTTGGTATACCAGTATAACGCCTTTTGGGGCGACTAACGGGGCGAGCGAGAGGGTGAGCCTTGCACGTGCGAAATTTCGAGGGGTACCTCCAACTGACTTGTGCACGGCACCCTACTAACCGGTCTCTTGCGATGTGCCAAATTTGAGTACCTACAATCGGCCCAGCCGTTCTCGAGATCTGGAAGCAGCACCCTGCACGTGCGCACGTGCAAAATGGGTCCCAACTGACTTGTGCACGGCACTCTACTAACTGGTAGAGTGCCAAATTTGAGTGAGTGTACTCACAAATTTGAGTGAGTGATGAGTGTAGAGTAGAGTGCCAAAAGTAGAGTGCCAGCCGTGTACCAAATTTGAGCGCCATCGGTCCAGCCGTTCTCGAGATCTGGAAACGACCCCTGCACGTGCGCACGTGCAGCAGCACCCCAACTCTGGCACATGGATATGCAGTGCCTAGTGGGTGCCTACCTACATGCCAACTTTCAGCGCAATCGGCCAAGAAGTTACCGAGATATTGCAACAATTACAAAACTGACACCTCTTCGTTTTGCACGTGGCACGTGCATAAGGGGTCAGCCACATGCATCGGGAATAGTCCAATACTTGGTAGAAGGAATGAAGCTACCCTACAAAAAATACCGCGTGTAAATCGGTCAAGTGGTTGCTGAGATATAAGCCTCGCAAAAGCGTCCGCACGGCCGGCCGGCCGCTCATACTCAGAAATTTCCGTTAATCTAAGGAAAGACTCCGCTCGCTTCGCTCGCTCCGTAACCAAATCAAACACTGGAATGCAGTGTTATCTCGAATGTAAGTGCTGAGCTTGCATACCTCCGTAGTTATCGCCACGATGCACGTGCTGATGAAGATGCCGCATCTCCTTGTGCGATGCTTACTCGGGAGATCTGATGCACCCATTTGACTGTATCTGTCTCACAGACGACGAACCCGTCCCCGGCTCTGGCACCGAGGAGGCGGCGGCCGACCGGCCGGCGGAGCAGCCTGCCCCCATCGAGCCGCGCGTGGTGGTGGTGACACCAGAGACCGGAGGACGGCCTCGCGCTCCCTCCGCCGACTCCGCCGGCCGGCAGCCGCGAGTGGTGACCGTCGAGGCCGACGACGATACCGACGGCTCCGACGGAGGGGCTCCCGGAGAGCGCGTGTGAGACAGACCGGCGAGAAGTGCCGGCCGTGGCACTGAGAGGATACGGGCAGAGCGGCGACCTGTCCGTTGATGACGGGGACGAAGGAGGCGGCCGCTGTCTGCGACTGGACCCAGTTGGACACTGCTGAGGGTGGAGATGGCATTGTGGAATGCTGCTGAGGTCACTCCTTCGTAGGCGACTGGCTGAGGCAGGTACCGGGGGGAACAACAACAACAACCTGCTGCACTGTGACCGCCACAGAGGCTGGTGTGTTGATGTGGACCGCCACGCAGAGTTCCATCCGTCGTGACAGTGGAGAGTGCCATTACCCCGACTCCTTACGCCGGCAGCCAAGGCGAACGCCGAACGCTGAATAGGTGCCTGACCCTAGCCACCAGCAGGCGAGCCACAGTGCAGAGTGCGACGAGCAAGTGTGCCCATTGAGCGGACTACGACCGCCGAGAGATTGTATGACAGGCACTCTGAGTGGCCTTCCGAGCACCGCCTGGGTATGTGCTGTCCTGTTTTACGTGTTGTGAGCACTGAACTGCAGTGTGTATGTGTGTTTAAATGTTACTCTCATTTTGGTACCCACGTATGGTCCAAGGCTAGGCTTATTTGCCTTTAACGGAGCGTTTTATCATTAGAGTCATCATATTCGTACCGATTTAAGGTTGCAATCCTTGTCAGTATGTTTTATCTTGTATTACTATAGCTGGGACGACGCATTACGACCGCGGTGTGACGCTGGCGGTCGGCTGCGTCACGAATAGCTCAGTCACTACCATTGTTACGATCGGTTCGTGACGATTCCGTGACGGTCGGCTGCGTCCCGTGTTGCCGTGAGCGGTCACACAGCGTCTGTGTTGTAGCGCGAGTCATGGTGTGTGTGCGTCTCTGGTCAGAGTGGTAACGGGTAGAGTCGGTGGCTGTGTGGTCCTGTATGTCAGATAGCCGACTGTCAGCCTTTCACTGCGGGCTGTCACCCTGTCACTGCGGTCTGTCACCCGGTCACTGCGGACTGTCACCCTGTCCAACTCCCGGGTCAGTCTCCGCTCGCGGGCTATGGCAGCTGCCGACGGTAGATAGCCGGCCGGTCCGTACCACTAACAGCAGAACCGGAGCGCCGCGCCGCCGGCGCTGCAGCTCCGCCGTGACGCGGCTCTGACAGCTGTGTGAGTGACAGGGGGTCTGAGTCAGCACAGTGACGTATCGCTCCGTCTGTCTGACGACGGAGAGGGCTATCTGTGGAATGCAGCGGGCCGACTGTGTAAATGGGTCTTTCACACCGTTTTAGTGAGTGTATGATGTGCGGACGACTGTTTGGGACATTAGAAACTTCTTAAAGTGTTGCCTAACCGTTTGTCTGCTGCCATCCCGACGGGGTATGAACTAGTGACATAGCTTTAGAGCATATGTATGTGCATACATTGTATCCATGCAAATGATTAACCGAATAAAGTCTCGATCATCCGTCACTATTTCTGTCAAACACCGCGATACATCAGCGCAGTAGAGAAGGCTTGAAGGTCTCGATTAGTTACTGCTGCGTTTATATGAAGGTGCGGTGTTCTCCGCAGTGACAGGCCATCAATAACGCTGATTATTGCCAGCTTACCTCCCCCCCCACACACACACACCAAAAAAAAATGTATCAGGCTGAATGTATTTTTTGGTAACTATTGATAGCGTAGCAGCGAAACACCTTGCATAGAAGTCACCGACATATCTTTGAACGGTCATAATTTTGTGACTTTTGTTGGCTTCAGGAGCAGTAAAAACCTTATTACAAGGCATATCGTTATATTCTTCATGTAAAATCAAACGTTTCGTCTCTGAGCAAAGACATCATCAGTGAAGTTACACATAACAGTACACACTAGGGTTACCCGCGTGCTCCGCAACGCGAAGAAGGGTTATTTTTGACCCGTGGGTATTGGGTTGGTCTGTGTCGGTTTGGTTGGTATCCAATTCGTTCGATTGCTTTTTGACGGCCAAGCATTTTGTAATAAAACAAAAAGATACATCGCATCGAGGTGCCCGTGTCGTATTATCATGCGTTCTACTTAAGAATGATTCGAAAACTGGCGTGAAATCTTTTGAGGGCCATCGCTGAATTTCGCTAAAAATGACAATGTAATGGTTTGGAACATTTACATTTTTAAGAATGCTGTTGCTCATCATGCAAACATGAAGAGTGAATCTTGGACAGAATTGAATGCTCTTTCCAACGGTGCCATTTTCAATTGCCAAAGGTATCAGGTTATGCAGCAAAACCCGTGTGATAAATAAAGTGGCACAAAATTGACAAACACCATTTTCTCCTGTGACTTGCACCACCTTGATTTGGATCAATCAGCTTTTCACAATTTTTATATGAGAGGCGGTACCTTTCTCTTGCCAACAGGCGTTGTTCCAATTCGCTCCGTTTAACGGTCACCTAAAAATAAAATCAATTCCAAAATCCGTCCAAAACGTCAATTTTCCACATAAAAGTGCCCTCCTCGGTGCACTTGGCGCGTGCCATCCTCTGCATCGTACACCATTCGATAGCCCGTTCAATTATCTACACGATGCTGTTTTTCCCGTGCCGGTCGGACCCCTGGTCACCAAGATATTGCACGGGGACCGGACCCGTGTCGGCCAAAATTTGCCGTTTTCGCCCGATTTCGCACGCCGATTTATACATGTAAAGTCTATGACGCGAATTTGCACTTTTTGGGCACGCGCCACGCGCTCCCTATCAATCCGATCGAGCTGAGACCCCTCAAAGGCACGTCGCGCATCCTTGATCTATAAGTTGTGCAAATTTCACCGGGCTAGGTGCAACGGTCTGGCCTGTAGTCCACGCAAAGCACCACCAAGTCGGGACCTCGGTAACGGACAGACGCACCCTCCTCAAATAGTAATATAGATTATGAGAAAACAAGCAATCAGGCGACATAACAAGAGCAACACAGTATCGCACATAAAATCATGCATATCATAAACGTTTCATGTTTCATCGAGGACCCCTAGGTAACGATATCTAGCTTATACGCCGACAACTTATCATTGATGGAAGGCCTAGACTTGAAAATGTGAAGTGATTCCAGAATTCTTAAATTAAAGTTTGAACGTTTTTTGTCAATGACCTTAAAATCGTCCAACGAAAATGGTACGTCGCATGTCAACGAATGGTCTCTAACAGAAAATATAACAGAAATCTCTAATTTTGTGACTTGGGGGAACTCACACTTGATGAACCGCGAGGATTGCTCGTAATTTCAATTCCATTCTCAATCGCTCAAAATGCTCAATAAAATTCAGCTTCCGAATTATGGCCTTGCCCTAATTAGTGCGCTTGCTCTTGTGATATCGCTGAACGAAATCGAATCGATGCTTGACCGACTGTCGTAATTAAATTTGTGCGCTCACCGTCTCAAGGCACCGAATTCTGCGAAGATCCATCAGTTTCACCCCAGAGCACACCAACTGCCGTGAGTCATAAGAGAACTAGTGTTTGAAGCAACTCGCGGATAAGACACGTCACTGAGCGTGTTACGTAGATTAATTGACAACATTTCGTGGTAGCAGGGCACATACGAGGGCAATAAGAACGTGATAGACTGCTCGTCAAATTAATCGGTGGTCAAATTAATTGCATTTCTGAGGTGATTTATTTCCTGGAACGAATCATAACACGTCAGACGGTGACTCCTCACACTGATTTTTATATCGTCGCTGGGGTGCACATTTGACGCTACCCTCTGCAATGCATTCGACAGTGGAGTACGGGACGTCTCGGCGGCTGGGAGAGTGAGTCGGCATGGCCGTTCCCAAGCTGCCCCCGCGCGACCTGCGGCCGCTCGTGTGCCGCTACAAGCCGTGCACGCAGAACGGCAACTGGTTCGAGGACCGCTACAGGAAGGACGACTGCGTGCGCGACTTCCTCCGGCGCAGAGAGCGAGGCGAGCTGATGATCCAGGCGAGTTTGCTGAGACGGGCGACAAGACGAACTCGAAATGTCTGGGTGCCCAAGCTGGGCTGGTGGTATTTAATTGTAATGGATCCTGGAGTTTTGTGTCTTCGAACATATGCCCTGAACTTCAACTTAGATATTAAAGATAAAGATAACTTAATAAGAGGCCCAGTTTCAACCCCACCACCGCGCACTATCTTTATGAGTTACCGTGCTCTGACCGGACCCCGATAAAACTATATTTAATTTTCCTAGACTAGACAGAAGGGATCTACCACGATGCGCTGTGCTTTCCGAAACCGACATAAGACGATAAGTAAAGTATAAGACGACATAAGCCAGCTCTCAAATTAACGGGCTCAGCCCCGGCGATTTACTAGGGTGCCTGCCCAGACCAATGTCTCTCCCTATATCCTATCATCCTCCCGGCTCTGAAATGGTCTCATTGGACCGAAAGGGCCTAACCCAACAAAACAAACTCTCAAATTAACTTACAAAAAACATAAGTTTTATCATTTTATAGCTCGGCACAGAACCACAGATCTCTGTCCATACTCTAGTTGCGCCGTCCACTGAATTCCCTTCCTGAGTGTTACTGTGGTGCGAAATGACTATGCATTGATGTATGTGTGTGAGGGAGTAGAAGGCGGACGCCATTATCAGTCAGCTGCTGGCGCCGGTGCGCCTTCTGCCGGCCGTCGACGGTAACATCTGGATCGGCGACAGCATCCAGCTGAGATGTCCCGGCGTGGTCTGGGCCGCCGGGGGACGCTGCAACCAGGTCAGTTATCGGGTTCTGCTACCCACAGACGATCCGATTCCGGACCCGTGACCGACTTGCGAATGACCTGTCACTGACCTATGGTTGATCCGACACCGACCTGTGGATAAGCTGTCACCGAGCTGTGACTGATTCGTCACAGGTGACGGATCACTCTCACTCTCTGACCCATCGCAGACCTGTCCTATCCCATCACAGACCAATCCCATCACAGACCTCAGTGAGTCCCGTCACCGACCTGAGACCTCTGGGCTCTGCCTGTCCGTCCCGCCAGGTACCCGAGGTGGCGCTCTCCGCCAACGTGTTCGACATTGCTCGCGCGTGTCCCACCCAACTGACCTCTCCGACGGCCGTGTGCGCCTCGCTGCGGCTCGAGCCGTGCGCCAGAAACGTCTTCACGGTGAGCGCACCGAGCACGTAATGTCAGACGAATTGTGACGACTGATACATGCTGTGCCGCAAGGCTCGTTTCTATACCGGCCGCTAGATGTCAGCCATAGCGCGACGCCTGAAACATGCTGTGCCGCATGGTTCATACGGCTTTTATTCTAGCCGCTAGATGTCAGGCAAATCGTGACGCCTAATACATGCTGTGCCGCATAGCTCATGCAGTAGTTTCTACAATAACCGCTAGATGTCCGGTAAATTGTGACGCCTGACACATGCTGTGCCGCAAGGCTCTCATTACGGTTGTTATACTAGCCGCTAGATGTCAGGGGGTCGTCACGCCGGCATGCTGTGCCGCATGTCTCATACAACAGTTACTCTTCCAGCCGCTAGATGTCAGCCATAGCGCGACGCCTGAAGCATGCTGTGCCGCATAACTCGTACAGCTTGTACTCTAGCCGCTAGATGTCAGGTAACTCGTGACGCCTGACTCATGCTGTGCCGCACGACTCATACAGCTTCTATTCTAGCCGCTAGATGTCAGGCGGGTTGTGACGCCTGGTGCATGCTGTGCCGCATGGCTCATTGGTAGTAAACTACTACAAGGTACAATGTGCATATCGGGTAAATCAGGGCCTCGGCTAACATGTTAACTGGTGGGCCAAATGGCCCACCAGTGACCCGAAATGGCCCACCAGCCTCAAAGATTTGGCCCACCAGGAATTTTCCGAGAAATATAAGTTTTCACATTTTTCACATTTCAAATTGAATTAGCAGATCTTATCATACATTTTCAGGCTGTTAAGTACCCATCGGTGAAACATATTCTTGTGAAAAACTTCAACCTATTGTTTGCAATAGCCTTTTGGGGTAAAAAGTGGACTATAGTACCCGCAACTTAAAAAAAAATCCATCACCTACGTCTTTGCTGTATGATTTTTACTACGTACTATGACGTAGGTAACATTGTGATACAGACCGAGACAGAGGCCCTACTACAGCACATTGTTGCATTTATTAAGAAGTAAGAACTTGATCGTCGTTGCCGCCTAATACCATCACCATTCCCGGTTTCTTGAGACAGCGGTAGGTTAAGCCTCGGTCACACTTCACCGGATTGGACCAATGGACGAGAAACGGACGGCGTCCGGTGATGTCCGGGGGATGTCCGTTCGTTTCCGTTGGACGTCCGTTTCTCATCCGTTAAAGGGACCCTCCCACCTTCAAAAAAGTTAATGAATTGGCATGAAAGTGATGTCGCTCGGTTCAGAAAGAGCAAAAACGAATATCTACCAAATTTCATCGAAAAATATTCACCGGTTTTCAAGATATTAGACTTTTACTTTTGTTTACTTTTTGGGATCTCCGCTGTTCCTAGCGACTTTATTTGAAAGTGCGGCATTTGTTGCGCGCAAAGCAGCATATACCACCGCGTGCTACCAAACGTTTTAGTAAAAGATTTAAAATCGTTAGATCTCCGCTGACGTCACAAATTCTAAGGGGGCATACCAATGCATTAGCCCCTTAGAATCCGAAAACTGCAAGTTTGAAATTCGATATCTCCGAATTAAAGCATTTTTCGATGTTGTGAATGCCCAAACCGGTATTTTCAGGCCATGGCCACCAATTTGGCTATCTCAACTCAAATCTAATGTTAAGGTGGGAGGGTCCCTTTAACCCGCGCCCAGATGGGGTCTGCCGAGCAACGCGGTCTGATGGGGGGGGGGGGGGCATTTTTGCCCCCCCCCCTCAGATCTCGAGAACCACGCAATATAGCGACAAGCGGTAAACGGTGTTGGATAGCCCCAACGGGGAACTACCTTGTGACCCAATTTCATTGACCTCGGTCAAACCGATGACGTCACAGGTCAGGTCAAAGGTCGAATTTTCACCGTTTACAGGCATTTCAAGAAATGCGTTGTAAAATCGAGTAAAATGCATTTCATTGAAAATCATCGGTGGAGAAATGTTCTTCAAACACATATTTTGCTATTTGAGGTCACTGATACCAGGTCAGGTCACAGAGGTCAGGTCACTGGGGGGGGGGGGGGTCACAATATGAAAGTGTCGTGTGATACATGTTTTATGGTCCATTTTACATGACAAATGCGATTATGTGGGTCAGACAGACTTTAGGGCATGCTTAGGTCACGTTTTGGTCAAGGTCAGGTCAAGGTCAGGTCAAGGTCAGGTCAAATTAGGTCAAATTTCAAAGTTGATATTTTTGCATAAAATGGGTCGATTCGATGCAGCTCGTCACGGGGAGTTCAATGGTGGTCTCCGTTTTGCGCTACCAGGTCTAGAATTGCTAAAAATTGAGTTCAAAAATTTGACGTCATCAATTTTTAACAGTTTTTTTGCTATAACTTGGCCAAAAAAGAGGTATCGATCTAAAATTTGGTATGTGTATCGAAGAGCGTAGGGACTATCACATATATTCCGGTTTTTCGAAATTCGAAAAAATGGAAATATTTTGAGTTTTTCTAAAAAAAAAATCATTTTTTTTATTTTTGGGGGTCAAAATCCCAAAATTACGAAAATCCGAGATAGCAGTTTTGTAGCGCCGTCTTTTCTCTACACAACCACATAAAGAATTTTAAAATTGCTTGTTAACTGTAGAATTGGCGAGCGTTTCAAGATGTCATGTTTTTTGCTCATTTTTGCTCGAACATGACCTCAGTTTGACCTCAATAACTCCTGACCTGAGGTGATCTGTGACTTGAAATTTTGTGTGAAGGTGTTAAATTGATGCCCGGTAAGGTACCCAAAATTTGGCGGCGCTGCGCGCCGCCGTTTTCTCCCTATTTAAGAAAAACCACAGGGGGGGCCAAAATGGCCCCCCCCATCAGGGCGCGGGTTAATATCCGTTCCATGTCCGGTGGTGTCCGGTGTGCTCAACCGGACACCACCGGACATGGAACGGATATTAACGGATGACAAACGGACATCACCAGACGCTGTTAGTTCTCGTCCGTTTCTCGTCCGTTGGTCCAATCCGGTGAAGTGTGACCGAGGCTTTAAATTTTATGCAATAATCGTGAAAGACGTCTGCCTCTGTAAATTACACATAGTGTCGGCGGCTTCCAGACAATCGAGGTCTGCGAGAGTTCTTGCAAGCTTTCCGATCGATCGAGTTGTTGCAGTCACATAAGCATCTGCCGCAGACCAGTCGGTTACAAGAAAAACTACGAATAAAGAACAGACCAGTTCAGACGGTCGGGGATATGCCTGCGAGCGATCTCGGACGGCTCGCCGATGGACACGATATAAGCCAGAGTTAAACTACAGGTAGTGTCGGCGACTTTCAGCCGATTGCAGTCTGCAAGCGATATTATGCGTCTTCACGACCGGTATGATGCTTGCAGTTACAAATCTGACCAGTCGGGCGAATTTCAAACCGTTCACAGTCAGCGTTCCAAAAATTTCTCATTTGGGCTGAAGATGACACTCAAGAATAAGAATGGATAATTTTCCACTCTCACATTTTGGGTGGCTAGAATTTTCCACGCAGACACCCAAGAGAAATCTGAAGTTTGGGACACTGTTCATCAGAAGTGTACATAACTTTTTTTTAAGAAAATATTAGGGTTGCGCAGCGCGCTTGGGCTTTTGAGTCAATTATTTTCTATGCGACACCAATAGGCTTAATGATCATTTTCAGCGATGTTGGGGTTGCTGCTACAACCCCCTTTTGGGGTTCCTGCTACAACCCCCTTTTGGGGTTCCTGCTACAACCCACTTTATATATAAAGTTGCACTCGTGCTGTTCACAATTCCTCCCGATCCAACCGACAACGCCCGATCCCGTCCGACCGTTTCCGAATCTCCGACTAGTCGGCGAGCGATCCACTCAGGGCTCGTTGATTTTTAACATCCGACCGGCCGTAAGTTATCGTCCAAAGTTTTATAATCTGCGTCAATATTTTGTGCATACTTGTGCGATTTTATGTGCACCGCCGGAGTATCCCCACTGAGAGGGTTGAGGGTCCCTACTCTCTCCTCTCTGAAGAGTCGGGGGGGGGGGTCGAGACCCGTTTTTTACATTTTTTTAATGCCATCCTGACTTTTTTTGCAGGATAAAGTGGCCGAAATCTGGGGAGAAATCGAAAATTGGGGGGGGGGCGGGGCTATGGCTACGAAGGTCAGTTCATGTCGCTGCCCAAGTGGCCCACCAGTCAAAATTCCTTAGCCGAGGCCCTGGGGTAAATCTGATTTTGGGAAGTGGATCAGACTAAAATAAAAAATAAAAAACAAGGCAGGAGACCTCGGAAGACCGGGAATATTAGGGCTCCGATGATAAACCGTTTCACTGTTGTTATTCAATGGTGCTACCGTTCGATATTCTTTTATTTCGCTACGAGCATTTTAGACCTTTGAGTTAATTCGTTTTCTTTCTTACATCGCTGTTAACAAATTAATTAGCAGCGTATGTGCCTACTTGATGACAGACATTCCGTATGTTCACCTTTCGTCCTGTCCTTACACTGTCGCATGGTCCTCGCGCCAGGTGACCCGTCCGGACGGCTCGGTCAGCCGCGAGGTTCTGCGGTACGGGCAGCCGTTCAGTCTGCGTCTCCAGGACGGCTACCCGGCCGGTCTGTACCTGACCAGCGAGCCGCCCACCGCCTACTGCGTGCCGCCCAACGAGGCTCGTCAGCAGGCTGTGCAGGTGCGCGGGGACCGGTGGGCGGGGCAGGGTGGCACAGCGTGCCCAGCGTGGTGAACAGGCGCTTAGACCTGGGCGAGGCTGGGACACAGTGCCGAGACTGTGACAATTTCCCATCCGACAAGTGGTAAAAGCATGAATCATGACAGATAGTTTATTTGCGCTTTTTCAACGCTATGACCCAACGCCGTACCTCAGCTATGTCCACGTTCCAGAGGCCTCTTGCACCAAAATCCTCTTGCACCAATGCTTGGATTATTTTGCATCGTATACCCAGTCCAAGTCTCAAATGTAACAATTTGCGTGCAAAATTTAGCAAGCACATGTAGGATTATGTATCGGGCTATTGCAAACAAATTTACCACCGTTAGATTAGCTTATTCTGAAACCGGTTTTTCGATTTTACCTAGCTCTGCTAGGTAGTTTGGTGCAAGAGGCCTCAGCTCACCGAGTGTCGTATTCCAACGATCTGTGTCGTGTTCCAGCTGATGCCGTGTCGTATTTCAGCTATCTGTGCCATATTTCAGCTGATTCGCTGCCGTATTTCAGCTATCCGTGCCGTGTTTCAGCTGACCCAGTGCCGCGCGCCGGCCGGCCGCTGGGTGGCGCACCTGCTGGAGAACAGCCACCGTATGGAGGCGGAGGGGAGCCCGGTGCCGGCCGGCAGTCCGCTGCTGGTGTGCCACCAGCCGAGCGGCCAGGCGCTGCGCCTGGAGGCCGGCCACCCGGTCACCTCCCTGCTGGGCCACGAGTGGGAGGTGACGGCGCACGCGACCACCGACAGCCGGCGCCGGCCGCTGCCTGAGAACCGCTGGTGCCTCAGCGCCCTGCCGCTCGGCGCCGCCTGACTGACCGAGCGCGCGGTGGGTCACCGAGGGACAGGTGGAGAGCGCAGAAATCCCACACCACCAGGAGAAACGAGACAAGAGACGAGGCGAAACGAGACAATAACGGGATGATCTTTGTCCATAACGGAGAATGATGCATTGCGCATTGTAGAACGTTTCATTGCTGATATTATAGTTTTTGTGATTAAATTGTGCCATGGAAAACTTTTCTTCAGTGGTGTGTGCAAGACCCAAGTTTCTGCTGAATTCGTCGCTGAAATTTGCTGGTCACTTGTGGCAGTGTCTCGTCTCTGTTATGGTTAAAGGGGGCGGTTGAGCGATCTAGTGAACTTGCTTATTTCAAATCAGATAAAACGTATTGCAAAGTTACGTTGGTTCGTCTTGTGGTTCGCCATGTATGTACCTATTGTGATGCGTAATTGTTGTGCGCATGCAATTTTAAGCAACTTTTTTGGTAATGACAAGACTCGGGCTGTATTTTGTACCTATTTAATTGTCTCTGTGCCGGCTGATCATGATTGTCACATGTTAGACCGCTAACTAATATCTCTTAAAGATTCGTCAGCTGACGTTCAAGCTCGAGTTGTTTATTGAAATAAATTAGAGCAATTGGTATTTTCTGTTACAACTTGTAGTAGCATCCTTCGCCTGACCCCTGGTAACACAGACTAGGATAAGTTGGTATATAGGTAACTGGAGCACATCCTGCCACATATGTGATGTAAGACGTAAGTAGAATACCGATGGTTGGATGAATTTGCATTTCACTGGAATCTTTTGCTCTGTTAGGGACCAGATATCGGATGATCATATGAATTATTATGTCGATATAACTGCATTTTCCGGTGACTTTTAAGGACATTATAACAAATGAAAAATACTCTCCCCATTAGCGTTGGGCTGAGCTTTTACGCGGTGATATTAGCGTACTTATTTTAGCGTCGATTCAATTGTTACAATAACAAAACACATAAAAGTTTCATACGTAATATTTTTACGGCTAAGTTCAGCCAGTTTTTGAGGGTTTTGCGGATGCGATGCCAATAATCTGAAGACCTTTTGAGCCTTTCGCGATTGTCCCAGTCGATCCACCAAACGAAATCGCAGTTTTCTTAGTGACGGCCAGAGTGTTTTTACAGTGCTGCGTTTTGGTCTTGACCCCGGGTATGCTGGCATGTTTCCGTATCCAGCCGAGGTAGGCGCTGACCCTGGTGAACAGTTCCGGCAGCTCGGAGTAGCCGCAGATGCCGACGGTAGCTGACGCTATACCGACCAGCTTGAAGCGCTTCCTATCCACCAGCGGCGCGCCCGAGTCACCCTGTGGGGGCAGTCACAGCGGAAAGATGAACACGGGTCTGTCACAGCAACAACCACACAAAAGTCTTTAACAGTGAAAAAGTAAAATGGGATGTGTTACTACGAAAACAAAGAAAAGCAGCAATATTTTGGCTTCCATATACCCGAAGGCTTGATTTCAATAATTAAAAACACTATATATGAGGCCTGTTTTTTTATAGAAAAACAGCTGAGTTCACACAGTTCACAGCTGAGTTCCCGGGCATTTCACATATAGTTAGCTTGACTGCGAAGAAACACTTGTTCCGAATATCAAGCCACATGAAAACTAGCCATTAGCTAATAGACTACGCAAACACCAAGCCCTCTGCAGCCGCAAGACCCATGAGGTAACCGTTGTAATTGACTCACCTCACATATGCCCTGTCCATCTCCTGGTTTTGTGCATAATTTTGTGTCGATCATAAAGCCGCCGGGGAAATTAAGCAGCTTGTCAAGCCCAGGGTATCGCTTCAAATACTTCTTGTAGCAGGTTTTTGCGCTGACTCCGGAAATATGAATCTCCTGTAGCTTATTGCTGAGTGAGCTCACTGCGAGGGAAATGTGTGCACGTCAGAATATACGGCGTAAATAATTGTCATAGATACAAAAGGGCTCGAAAGCTTAAAATGACAGCATTAAACAGATCAATATTCTTCAAAAGGACTGGAACCCTTGAGCCCCTGTCGATCTTGTATGATCACTTACTTGCATGGTACTTGGTAACTAGTACATGCCTATGAAAAATTGGTTGAAAAAAAATTATTCAATTTTTTATGCATCTCCTTAGGTAGACACACCACTGAGGTACCCGTTTAACCCTCGCCCTGGCAGGGGATCGATGCGACCCCCTAAGGTTTTTCAAAGATAGCGTAAACACGGCGGCGTGCAGCGCCGCCAAATCTAGCACAGCCTATGGAGCAACCTTTTTACATATGACTTGAAAATTTCAGGTCCGGGTGACCTTGGGTCAGATCACCAGGTCAGAAAAACCGAAGCAAGGTCATGGCCAACTGTCAATTTTCTTTATGCACCTGTCCAACTCACAGTTTTGGACTGATTTCCTTCAAACTTTCATCCGGTGAGGGACCGACACTGACCCCTGGTGTGGGACCGACACTGACCTCTGGTGCGGGACCGACACTGACCTCTGGTGCGACCCCAGCCGGCCACGCTGACCGGCTCTCCACCCAGATCTCCGGTAGGGCCGTCCGGTAGCGGTATCGTGCATACGAATGGAGAAAACTGCACCTCCTTTTTGAGCCGAATCAGCCCGATGTCGTGGTTGGATGCGTTCACCTGGCGGAGGCATTCGGAAGTCGGAAGGGATGAGGTGACGGCGCCGGAGAACTTGCAATGTCATATCTCACATAAGCAGGGCAGAAGGTGGTAAGACGCCCAGTCAGGTAAGACGCCCACTGCACCCCTGTGTCAAAACTGAGACTGTGATTATTTTTATCGCTATTTACGAAGCAGAAACCTTTTCGAAATAGCAACGCCGTGAACGGGCGGAACAGTTATGCGTTCTACATCTGCAGTGAAGTTGAGTTTGTTTTTCGTGAAATTCTTAAAAAATATGTCATGCCTACATTTGAAAGTGTGATATCTATTGTGAGTAGGTATGCGTGTCCTATGTGCTATTCAACTAATTCACCTGACATTTGAATTCGCCGTGAGAGGTCGTGCTGCATCACAAGGTTTCACTAGCGCCATTCATCAAATCACTTATAGTGAATATGCAGGCTTTAAAATCAAACTATATCTACGCTCTTTGTCAAGCAGAAACTGGAAACGCTAGCCTTTCCCGTCCGTGGTCTCGCGAACACTAACAGGGATAATACAGTAGAATCCGCTTAATAAATCCACCTTGGTGACTCGGCGTTTTGGATTTATTAAGCGGTTGCTTTACTAACCGTAGTCACTTACGCTTCTATCATCTATGGATAAATCCGTGAAAAGATAAAGTGGCTACAATAAGCGGCTGGATTTACTATCCGAGGAAGCGAATTCTATTGTACACACGGAAGACGAGAACTCACTTTATAGTTGGGTGGCATGACGAACCGTTCGATTTCATAATCAGTGTGGACGCCATCCATAAAAGTACTTCGATCGTAGTCCCCCAGCCGCACCACCATCGTGTTCCTGTGACACCAACACCAACACCAATCAGCTCCGTGCAGAGAAACAGGGCACCAGCACCAGCCAGTCCAAGTGACCTCAGGAAAGAGGCATGCATATTGTTCCATGTATCACATCCATGCATTTGGCGTTGAAACACAGGCACCTACATGAAATATGGCATACCAGTAGGATGACTTGGGGGGGGGGGGGTTAACGAGCGAGCAAGAGAGTGAGCCCTGCACATGCGGAAAGGCGAGAGGGTACTTCCAACTGGCTGATGCGCGACACCCTACTAACTGGTCACTGACGGTGCGCCAAATATGGAGGCAGTCGACCCAGCCGTTCTCGAGATATGGAAGCGGCACCCTGCACGTGCGCACGTGCAAACTGGGTCCAAAGTGGTTTTTGCACATACCAACCGGTCCCTAAACGCCTACAAGATTTTAGCGCAGTCGCCCCAGCCGTTCTCGAGGTCTGGAAATGACGCCTGCACATGCGTACGTGAAGTAGCACACTGCCCGTAACACATGATGATGTATTGTCTGGTGGGTCTTTACCGGAATGCCAGGTTCTAGCGCAATCGCCGCAGTAATTGCCGAGCTATTGTAATGAAAACAAATTTGACACCTCTTCTTTTCTACACTGTCACAGAAGAGAATATGCACAGGGTGTCCCAAAAGTTTTTAGACACCTATTTTTTCACATTATTGGCCATTGACACGCGCACCGACGGGGGGGGGGGGGGCGGATATCCGCCCCCCCCCTGAGGTTTTTCGCGAATAGCGGGAAAACTGCGCCGCGTAGCGCCGCGAAATTTGATACGACTATTTTCTTATCAATTTTACACATGATGTGCAAGTTTGAACCTCCTAACTTTTAAGGTCAGGTCATCAGGTCACATTGAATGACCCAACCTCAAGTCGCTTTTTTGCAACTTTGTCACCGTGCCAGAGCTACAGTAGATGTCGGAGGCCTTTGAAAGTCGCAGGATGTTATTAGGTCATTAGTAGCTATAATTTGTATATCTCGGACTTTTGATATCGGTGACCTAAGGTCAGGTCAATTTCCCGACCTCCCCATTATAAGTCAATGTAGGAAAAATCAACTCCCTGTTTTACCACTAAAACGGGTCGGAATGGCCCCATATACCACACATGACTTCATATACGATCAACCTTCACTACCTTGAGGTCTGTTTTGCTGTTGGGCAGCTGTAAGGTCATGTGACGTCATCAAAGGTCACCAAAGGGTTTTTGCCAATAACTCCGTACAGAAACAAGATACGGCCGCGCGGATGGTCTCATTGTGTTCAGCCCGTCAAGACGCATCGAATGATATACATGATGACCTCGAGGTCACGTGACCTGAGATAAACCTTTGACCTTGACCTTTCGAGGTCAACATATGTATCATTCGATGTGGATTGACGAGAGGATCACGATGGTGCCCTTAGATTGTTCTTATCTTGACTAGTTCGAAAGTTATTCGAGAAAAACTCTCCATATCTAGCGCCGCCATTTTGACTTTTTCCCTGTGACGTCATCTTTGACCTGAGCTGAAAATGACCTTAGTAAAAATTGTAGATCTTGACCGTGCGTATCCCATGCCGTTTACCGCTTGTCGCTATCTTGCTTCGTTCTCGAGATCTCAGGGGGGGGGGCGGTTATCCGCCCCCCCCGTCGGTATGAAGTTGGCGCAGACGGTGATGTCGGTGCGAGTGTTAACAGTACACCACTTTCAGAACAGCAAAAAAAGAACAACAACAACATGATATTGCTATTGGCAAGATGCTTAGTATGTCTCGAATCAAATGGAACCCTTTCGGTGCCCAAGGGTATCTCAGAGATGACCCAGGGTGGTTGATCCCACACCCATTTTTAACCGCAAACATGAAGGTGCCGAGGAAGCTCACAACTGAAGAAGCATACCGACTTCGTGGAATTGAGTCAATTGAGAATGGTAAGAGAGAGAGAGAGGCAAGCTGCAAAGACGTTTGATCTACCCCGAATTACGGTTATTATTGGTGGAAGCGACATTCTTGCACGATTAAACTTGAAAAGAAAATGTCGGTTCTGCCGGCCATCCGTGGTTGTGATTTGTGAATATGGTGAAAATCGTTTGTTCTGAGGCTAAGGGCAGCGGGGCTACAGTATGCAAAAATGTACAGTTCAACTATCAGGGAAGTGTTCACTAGTATCAAAGCTATAAACATACAAGTTTTGTGATATTTATTAACCCGTGCATGACCAGGGGGGGGGGGGGCGGGGGCTCTACAGAGCACCCTCCCGTTTTTCGGCAATACCTATCTACTAAACCATTCGACGGATCAACACGAAACTCGCGGTACCTTCAGCGGCATCAACTTGACACCTTGTGTTCAACTTTCAACTTTCTAGCTACCATAGTCTAGCTGGAAATGACGTTAGAGTGACGTTATGTCGGCCGATTTTGATGCAAAATATTGAATTACGGCAAACGCTCTCAAGAGCTCAGTTCTAAAGTTAGGTCCACTTTCTTTGCATAAGTGGACTACAAATACACGTAGCTATCAAAGTGCTATCTGGTTTTTTTGAAATTTTGAAAATTCTGAAACATATGTAATATGTATTTACAGTTACAAAAAATAGTTTTTTCCTTCAAAAAGTTTTTGATTTTTCGCAAAAACCGGAATATATGTGATATAACACACACTGGTTAACTACTCTAGGAGGTTTTAGCCTAATATCTATAAAAATAGCCAAGTTATTTTCATTATTGTCCAAATTTTACAATTATGAATTTTTCAAAAGCGCCATCGTGTTCCTGAGCTCAAACGGCATCCGATAGACACCTTTTTGGTTGAAAAATTTTAACTTTAAAATTTGACCTTTTTTGACCCAAAAGTGGCCTGACCTAAGCTAAGTTCAACTCAAAATGACCTCGAATGACATAAACGACATCGAATTCAAAATATATGGCCTAAATGGACCATAAAACATGTGTCACGTGACCGATGCATTAACACGCGCAGTGGAAGGGTTGCGAGTACTACGCCCAGTGGAAGGGGGGGGCGGATGTCGCCCCCCCTAAGATCTCAGCTCCCACTGGAGCTAGAAAGACGAAATTTGGAGGGTAGGTGGGGGCCATGGGGAACTCTGTTGTGTGTGAATTTCATGACCCTAGGTCAATATCTTCAAGGTCAAATGAGGTCAAATGTGGTCAAATCTGCCATATTAGCGACTTTTTTGCGTTTACACGCCGATAACTCAAAAGGTTACCGGCCGATTTTATTTTTTCTTTCACTGTACGAAAGAACAAACAATTGGGAGTATGTATGGTGAATTTCTAGATAATCCAACAAAAAATATGGCAGTTAGAAGCCTGCTAAGGGTAAGATGTCGCCGGCTGAAGCGGGATCGGCCGACGCGGGAAACGCGGCAATCACAATTTTGTGTTTACACACTCATAACTCAAATTATTACCGGCCGATTTTCAAAATTCTTTGACCATATGATTGCCTGTACATTTCTCAGTCTTCTCACCGAATTTGACGCGAATCTAATATAATCAGCGGTAAGGAGCGCGCAGGGGCGGATCCAGGAAAACTCCAAGGGGAGGGTCATGAATCGAAGTGGTGCCCCTACCTATACCCAAAATTAAAAACTCAACGGATTTCGTCCACTTCATTTTGGTGGTGCCCCCATTTTCAGTTTTTTTTATTTTTTATTTTTAGTCAGCATCTTAACCCTCGCATGTGTAGGGGGGGGGGGGGGTCGGATGGACCCCCCCATGGTTTTTCGCGAATAACTCGCGTAAAAAGCGGCCGATCGCGACGAAACTTTCAGTACCCTCACATTGATCAATTTTACACCTACCCTGAAAATTTCATGACCCTGACCCAAATGACCTTTGACCTGTGACCTCTTTTCCGAGACCATGTTTGGCCGGAATCGCGATTCTGCGTATGTCGGCTCGCATTAGCCGCGCGTTTGCAAGCTTTTCGTGGTTTCAAACGTTCAAACATGTGATTTGATGTTGCTTCCATGCATTAGGGTGGGTGTCAAGGTCACCTGAAGGTCAGGTCAGGTCATTGACCTTTGGTGACCTCGGGTGACCTCGGTTCACTTTTTCGAGCTGTACATGTTTCTAGGCTAGTTTTTGGAGCTGAATTCGAATTTAGCAACCATTTGAACATTTACGAAGTAGTTTTGATGCCTTCGTAACATGTTACGAAGCTGTCAGAGGCGGTTGACACGTACTACGAATACCCGTCACGACGCCTACTGGTTGACCTGACCTGACCTGACCCGACCTGGTCTAAATGCTTAAAGACATCATCTGTGATAAAAACTAACACGATATTCGTGATCAGGACCCCGAAAAACCCCTTAGCAGCCACACTTTACGACTTTCTAACAGGTCCCGATCTTCCCGACTTTGGGTCATTGACCTGACCTGGAAGGTCAACCAATGACCTAAGACCTTAAAATTGGGTATCATCGGCTTCCTCTCGTCACGGGCAACACGCTCGTTTTTTCCGCGAAGCTCTAGCTCGATCAGGGGCCAAACGGCAAGGGGGGGGGTCCAACCGACCCCCCCCCCTACACATTAGAAGCTGGCAAACGCCGCACACATGCGAGGGTTAACTCTTAGCCACAACCACATTTACCAATTGTAAGCAAGTATATATGAATGTGCTATGTGTATAGGTATATGTTGTGGACGCTGAGTAGTGAGTACTTACCAGGAACGTTATCAGGTAAGCAAATCGTTGTCAGTCCGACGAACTTGACACTGGCGTCTAAAGGGTCTGTCCTTGACACTTCAGGCTTGTCAGGGGCACCAAAGTCCTTCCAGGGACACCACAAACCTGTCAGGGGCACCTATGGCCTTGTAGGGGCGCCACAGGCCCGCCAGGAAGCAGGGGCACCACAGGCCTAGCAAGGACACTACAGGCCTGTCAGGGGCACAACGGGCCTGTTGGGCCCATGAGCACCCCTAGGGGCAGGGGCACCACAGTCCTTCCAGGGGCACCGCAGGCCTGTGAGGGGCACCAGCGGCCTATCAGGGGCACCACGAGCCTGTCATAGCCAGGCATCTCAGGCTTGTCAAGGCCCAGGGGCACCACAGGTCTGTGAGGGGCACCAGCGACCTAGCAGGGGCACCAGTCAACACAGGTCTGCCAGGGGCGCCACAGACCTGCCAGGGGCACCACAGACCTGCCAGGGGCACCAGAGGGCTGCCAGGGGCACCACCGGCCTTGCAGGGGCACCTTGGGCCTGTCAGGGGCACCACGGGCCTGCCGAGGGGCACTTCAGACTTTTCAGGGGCACCAGTCCTCTCCGGGCGCAGGGGCACCACAGGCCTGCCAGGGGCACCAGCAGCCTAGCAAGGGCACCAGAGGCCTGCCAGGGGCACCACAGGCCTAACAAGGACACCACGGGCCTGTCAGGGGCACCTCAGGCTTGTCAGGGCCCAGGGACACCACAGTCCTTCCAAGGGCACCGCAAGCCTGTCAGGGGCACCAGAGGCCTGCCAGGGGCACCACAGGCCTAGCAAGGGCACCACTGGCCTGTCAGGGGCACCTCAGGCTTGTCAGGGCCCAGGGGCACCACAGTCCTTCCAGGGGCATTACAAGCCTGTCAGGGGCACCAGAGGCCTAGCAAGGGCACCACAGGCCTGCCATGGACACCACAGGCCTGCCAGGGGCACCACCGGCCTTGCAGGGGCGCCTCAGGCCTGTCAGGAGCACCACGTGCCTACCGGGGACACTTCAGGCTTGTCAGGGGCGTTACAGTCCTGTCAGGGCCCAGGGGCACCAGGCCCGTGGTATCCCTGCTAGGCCTGTGGTGCCCCTGGCGGTCCTGTGGTGCCCCTGTCAGGACTGTGATACCCCTGATAGGCCGGTGGTGCCCCTGGCAGGTCTTTGGGCCCCCGGGCCTCAAGGGGGGGGGCCATGACCCATGTGACCCCCCCCCCTTGGATCCGCCCCTGGGAGCGCGATGTAAAGACGGAGCCGTCCCGCCCCGGCACAGTCTACAATTCAGGCGGCGCGTAACGGCTAGCGCCGGCCGCCGCGCCGCCGCGCCACCGCGGCGGCAGGATGTTTGACTTTACACCGCTATTACTAGAAAAGTTGTGAACCGATTTTCTTATTTCTTGCACAAGAAGATCCGCAATTCAATTTTGGACAGGTAGCCAAAATTTCACATTGATATTAAGTTCGCGGCGCGAGTTATTGGCGAAAAAAAGGAGGGGTGGGCGAAATCCGCCCCCCCCTTCCACTGCGCGTGTTAAATATGATTTCCGTGACCTGTGACGCCTTGACCCTGACCTGAAAATAAAAGTACAACTTTGGTACCCTCAGGGTATATAAAGCATCTGTTCACGAGTGTGTAAACAAAACATGAGCCTGATCTTACTTGTAAGCCGGCGGCCAGAGCCCAAAAGGTGAACAAGCCAAACATTGATATTTTTTACTTTGACCTGACCAGCGACGTCATCGGTGACCTCGAAATCAATGAAATTAAGTTTCGCTCGACAATTTTTTCCGGGGCTATCAGATGCCGTTTGAATTTTGCCGATCGTCCCCGTAGTTTCGGACTTCGGAGTTAGGAGGGGGAGGGCTATGAAGAGCCCCCTCCCCAGTAGGGCGCGTTATACGCAGACCCCAGTGGGGAGCGGGATAAGTGCAAATGGGGCCAACGGACGCCGACCGTGACTCACCGTTTCGTAGCGTGTTTTTCCAGACAGTGGGCCGCCGTCAGCACGTGCCGAGAGTTGATCACAGCACCGCCACACACGGGCTGCCTGAAGACCAGCTTCTGCTTGGCGAGGAGCATGGCCTGCCAATACCCGGTGGTAGGGTCACATCTCAGTTGTTCCTAATTATAATAGCATCGTAATATGAAAGGAAAATATGATTAGCCTTGATATTTTACGTGCAAAAACTAATTAGGAGCTATATTGCTACCAAGCGTGTGAAAAACTACGGTTGATACACCCAACTTTCTGTGCGAACTGCGAAACCGCTCTACGGTCGCTTTTTATATCAGAAAGCCAGACAGAAAGCGCCAGGGAACTGATCTTGGGTGAAAAGGGAATGTGACGGACATTTGTTCTTTGTGTCTGTCGATGGTGCAATTTGATGCAATTTGAGCTAACTGTCGGTAACTTGGTGCATGATTTGTAAGCAGGCACCACCTCACCATCCACGGCCACTTTGAGACCGCCTGGTTCTGGTTCCAGTCATTGATGTAGTCTTTCAGAGAAGTCGCAGCCGGGCGGCCACCCGCCATTGGATTCGTCCCAGTTTTATCATCCTGCAAACAGCGAATTTGATGTCATTTTACCATTATTTGATAGCAACGCATTTCATGGTGAGTGCCTAAGTGTATTTATATGTGCATGTCGCCACGAAACTTCACATAGCTTATAAAACATTAGCTTTGCATCCGGTGTCGAGATTTTGACTCCATGTCAATGAATGATGCACCGGGTCAAGTTACAAAACATGAACTCCAAAAATCGACTATCGTGCTCATGCCACATATTTACCTTTTTCAGAGGTTTGTAAGTTTATAATCTGGACGAGAGCATCTTTTTCAAAAACGTGCAGCGCCGAAAAAGTCGTTTATAGACCCTTAATTAATATGACCCTTAATGTAATTGCTTTGTTTCATGTACATTGTACAGTCAAGGTCATGACCTAACCGGAAAAGGTCATGTTGCATATCAGTCGATCCGCATCGTCGAGCCGAACACAACTAAGGCGTTTTCATCGCTTTAGCGCATGCCTCTATCAGAAGTTATGAGCGAACAACTGTTAGATACTATTCGTGACCTGAGATGACCTCGGGGACGTAACGAGGGGCCACAGGTGCCATTTTCCAGTTCAGTGTGTCAATTTTATCTGCATCCCGATGTTTGAGAGTGTCTAGAATGGCGTTCGTGCAAAAGAAACGCTTTTCAATTTGCTTCCATTGACTTATAATGGAGAGGCCGCAAAATGGGCTGGCCTTAGGTCACCGATATCAAAATTCCGAGATGAACGTTTTATAGATGCTCTCACTCTTATCAATCGCTGAAAGTTTCAAGGCAATCGTTCAGTCGGTGTAGCTATGGCGAGCATTCTATTTTTTTCTGAGGTGAGGTCACTTGGCGTGACCTGGTGACCTGACCTTGAGCGACCTGGGTCTGAAAATTTCACAACATGTGCGGAAAAGATGCACAAACAGGTGTGCCAAGCGAAAAAACCGCAACGGGGGGGGGGGGGTGTTCAAACACCCCCTCCCCGGCCCGGCGCGGGATAATGTCACACCGACATAAAACTCACTTACCCATCCGCGGGGTCGAGTCACTGTTGTGAGGCCATTGAGGGCACGGGCTGAAATAGTGGCAAAAAACAGTGAGGATAATTGAACCATCCACATGGCTCAACATAATTAGCAGATGCATAATCAGTAGATGCAAACAAGTAACGCATAGGTACGCTTATGACATCGAATGCTCCGTAACTCAGGGTTGGCTGTTTTTCGGCAGGACGCCTCCATCTCCCTTGCATCTTATTCACTTTGCAGGTGATCATTAACCCGCGCCGGGCCGGTGCTCTGAGATTCCGCGCCGGGCCGGGGGGGGGGTGTCTGAACCCCCCTTCTAACTGGGCTCCTGGGCCACGTAGTGACACGCGGTAAGCGGCAATCGAAAGAACGTCCAAAATAAGGACAAAAACACTTCGGTCATTTTTTTGGGTCAGGTCAAAGGTCAGGTCACCAGAGGTCACCAAAGGTAAAATGTTGACTATTTCAACATTTTGGAAACTGCCAACGGCTATCTCGGGAACCGATAGAGCTACAGCGCCGCGGAAAAGCGCATTCGATAGCCCTTTTACAGAAATTTCTGAATAATGTTCTCAGATTTGACCTCAGGTCAACGGTTTAGCCTCCAGAGGGCAAAAACTCCAAAATAGCCGTTTTTACGAAAAGCGGTTTTCGGCAATAACTTTTGACTCAAAAGAGCCATGACATTACTTTTGCCAGCATCGTGTTCCTCTCGTCGAGACGCGTCGAATGAACTATATTATGACCTTGAAAGGTCAACTTGAAAATTTGACCTCAGGTCAAGGTCATGACCTAACCGGAAAAGGTCATGCTGCATATCAGTCGATCTGCAACGTCGAGCCGAACACATCTAAGGCGTTTTCAGCGCTCTAGCACGCCTCTATCAGCAGTTATTAGCGAAAAACTGTTAGATTCTGTTCGTGACCTGAGATGACCTCGGGGACATAACGAGGGGTCACAGTTGCCATTTGCCGGTTCAGTGTGTTAATTTTACCTACATCTCGATGTTCGAGAGTGTCTAGAATGGCGTTCGTGCAAAACAGACGCTTTTCAATTTTCTCCCATTGACTTAGGACTACATATAATGGAGAGGCCGCAAAATTGACCTGACCTTAGGTCACCGATATCAGAATTCCGAGATATACATTTTATAGATAATGTTGCTCTAATCAATCGCTGAAACTTTAAAGGCAATCGATCAATCGTTGTAGCTATGACGAGCATTCTTATTTTTTTCGGAGGTGAGGTCACTTGGCGTGACCTGGTGACCTGACCTAAGGCGACCTGGGTCTGAAATTTTCACAACATGTGCGGAAAAGATGCACAAACAGGTGTGCCAAAAACGGCGGCGCTCCGCGCCGCCGTTTGAAACTTGAGGGGCTTGAAAAGCCAGCACAGCTCATCGGCGACCTACATAGTTATCTATGTATATTTTGTCTCGCTCTGAAATGTTGAAATGTATAAAATATGAATCTTTTCGTGACGCTGCGAATAACCCATGCACCTATATAACTTGTGCATACAGTCTCTCTTGAAAGTATAGAAACCGCGAATCGGTGTGGTGGATCCATCAAGATCGACTGAGGAAAGGTTGCCAAATTTGGGAGTCACCGAACCAATTGACCATGGGGGATGGATGAGGATGTCAATTGCTTTGGTGACTCTCAAATTTAGCAGCCTTTCCTCTGTCGGGCTTGATGGATCCACCGCACCGATGCGCGGTACACCTACTTTCAAGGCTGACTGCGGCAGATACCGCATTTGACAGTTCAAGACCTATCACACGCGGAATATAGCCGCATATCTCTGTCTCTGTCTCTCTGCCTCTCTGTCTCTGTCTCTCTGCCTCTCTGTCTCTGTCTCTGTCTGTCTGTCTGTCTGTCTGTCTGTCTGTCTGTCTGTCTGTCTGTCTGGCTGGCTGTCTCTCTCTCTCTCTCTCACTCTCTCTCTCTCTCTCTCTCTCTCTCTCTGTCTCTCTGTCTCTCTGTCTCTCTGTCTGTCTGTCTCTGTCTGTCTGTCTGGCTGTCTGGCTCACTCTCTCTCTCTCTCTGTCTGTCTGTCTGTCTGTCTGTCTGTCTGTCTGTCTGTCTGTCTGTCTGTCTGTCTGTCTGTCTGTCTGTCTGTCTCCCTCCCTCCCTCTCTCCTTCCCTCTTCTCTCTCTCTGTCTGTCTCTCCCTCCCTCCCTCCCTCTCTCTCTCTCTTCTCTCTCTCTCTCTCTCTCTCTCTCTCTCTCTCTCTCTCTCTCTCTCTCTCTCTCTCTCTCTCTCTCTCTCTCTCTCTCTCTCTCGCTCGGCTTACCGGATCGGTAGGCTGACGGCAGGCCGGTAGCGGTCGCCGCTAGAAGCACTACCAGCCAGCAGAGCAGCACCTTCGCCATCATAAACGGTGAACGGCGCGCACCTCGCGCCACGTGTTACAGGATGGGTGGCGAGTGACTGGTTGGAAAGGTCGACTGACAGCCCCCGACGCATCACCCTCCGTCCCCCCCGTCCCCCGCCCCGTCCGTGTTACCAGAAACCGGGACAGGCTGTCAGGGCTGTCATGGGCCTTTGACCCCGGACTATGGCACCACCAGAGGTAAATCGTTGACGATTTTCGATAAACTAAGCTGTATAATATACATATGTAGTTATTATTAGCTTTTGTTCTTCGTCGAGGATTGCACTGACCTGAGGTAGGCGATAGGCATGCCGGAGTATGCTCGCGACAAAGGCTAGGTTATGCAAAGCATGCTCATGACAACGTCGACTACACCAGTGTCATAAGTATATGTAGTCTACGCCGGTGTTTCCCTGTACTGTACGTACTTTATATGCCGAGTGCAGTCACCTTTGCTGCTAGTTGAGTCTGCTTGTAAGGGATGCATCAATCAGACCGAGTTTCAATTTCGCCAATTGGGTTTCTGCCCTGATGATCATGAACATACCCGTTCTCCCATCAGATGTGCCCTCAGCAAACCTGCGCCCCACCAGCCGTGTCCATTTTCTCACCCATAGCTCGGCAGACCCGACCTTGGCCCCTCACCAGATCTGTCCGTCCCCCATCAGACCCGTAACTGATACCTACCACCCTTTAACGACCTGTCCTGAGTTTTACCAAACCCTTCCGGACCAACCCCGTATCTTCCCTCACTGTGCATTTCTCCATACCTAATGCTCTTACCTTCCGAGTTGCCTGCTCCGCTTATTATCAGATCTGTCTCC